CTGCTATAATATCAGTGTTTCACAGGCAGGGCGGTTCGGTAACCCACTTTCAGCCCATCAAAAATTGATTTAATTGCAATTTTTTCCCCCAATTAGGAGCACTGGAGCTTAACTAATTGGAGTAATAGAGAGTAATAAGGCTCTGGTAAAAAGCCTTCCTCTGCCTCCTTTGTATCTTGTGTCATCGCCTGTCAGAGGTCAGAGAGCTTGCATATTCTATTAGGCAGAGTTGCCTTCATTTGTACAAATTAGTTTACCCAACAGTAATTAAAATGCCAGTGCGGGTCGGGGAGAGCTGAATACAATTGATGGGCACGTTGGTGAAGGATTTGACAGCTCCGGTGGCCTCCCTTGCCAAAGCGTGTCAGTGCTGAATCAAAGGCTACACAAACCCACAGACCCGTGTGTTTAACCCATGGCACCGTCGGCACCAACTGCTTTCTCTCTTCTCCGCTCTCCGTTTTGGACTTGCTTTCTCTCCTCCTTTTCTCATCTCACTTGAGACTTTCTAAAAAAGATGTTTCCCATCTTTGAGCTGTCCTTTCTGTTGATTGCTTTCATAATGCTGCTACCAGACCCCCCCGCCCCGGTCCTATCTCCCTTGGTGCTCCCCCTCCTCTCCCCCCGCCTTCCACATTCCCAGCTGCAGGGCTCTGTCAAGTAATAACTTCTTTGTTTCCCAGTCCAATGAGTCTCCGTATATAATAGTCTCCAAAATGGAACAACGATGTCCAATTCCAGGGGGTGGGGGAGCGCGCGAGCAGGAAGGAACAGGCTCTTGCACGTGTCAAGCAGATTCTGGATTTGAAATCCCCGAAGAGCAGAACAGGACTTGAGAAGCAATCTGTTTACAGTACAGGGGAAGGGCGCAAGCCTGGGGCACGGGGGAAGTTTAAAGAGGTTGGAAACGGCCTGTTTCACCCAGGTTCCTTCAATGACTGTATTGCAGGTTTCCCAGCTCAGGCAGTACCTGGTCTGAAGTCTGGGTTGACAGTGAGGAAGGTGTGTATTGTAAAATGGGATTTGTATCTCTGGAGCTGAGACTGTTGCCAAGCCTCATAGCAAACAGCATCTTTCCAAAAGGGCTGATGGGCAGCTACCTCTTTCTCTCTGGTTCATCCATATCTGACAATGTTCTGTACAGGATGGGGTAAAGAGGGATGCTACAGGTGGGGTGAAACTGTGTAGCTGGCACCTTGGGAGCAGGCGTGGGATCATTGCAGCTGGACTGTAGCCAGAGCACTACTGCTGTTGCCAGAAATGCCATGGGATCTTCAACAACCACAAGTCAGTCAGATGGAGAAAAGTTCATGTGTTTCTTCCAACAGCACTGCCAGGATGTGTGTTCTCTGTCATTCCCTGCCCCAGCTTCTATTGTGGGGGGCCAATCTCTAATGAAATGTCTCTTCTGTAGCACAGAGAAAGTCTGGCTTCAGGAGAAGCAGGGTTTTTGTTTCCTTTTTTTTTTTTTTTCCCCCTCCTCAGTAGAGAGTTTCAAACGGGAACGAGAACATCAGAGTATCAGATGAGTTGGAAAATGCCTTGCTTTGGACAACAAAAACATGCTGTATATGAAGTATGTGTGTCTCAATTCTCTGCAAAATCCTTTCCTTCCTGGTACAGCAGAGATGGAAATGCTGTGTTGGCTTGCTTGTTTTTATCTTCTGGGGGATCCCTGTGAAGATCACATGCCCTGTTATGGAAGCCATGCAATGGTGCTCATTTTTCCATCAGGGGAGCCTTTTGGAGGGAGCTTATAGTCATGGTACCCAGCAGCTTTCACAGGGCAGAGGAAAGCTTAGCGGAGAAAGGAATTTGCATCACCAAGGCCATCTGATGCTTGGACATAGCAGTTTTTATGTAGCATGTAGATGCATCTGGTCAGTGTCTGTGTACATCAGTAATATACACTTCCGAGAGATGGATCATCCCTGCAGTAATATGCAGAGGTCGTCTTGTGCTCTCCTTTTCCCAATCTAGTCTCTCAGTCTCTCTGGCTCCTGAAAGCATTGTAGGCAAAATAAATGACACTCGCTAAGCTAGTAACTCAGCTTGAGTTGTTTCTCTTGAGCAGCTGGCAAGAACAGTTGTGAAGAGGTTGTGCTTCTCTAGGTCAGAGGTGTGTGCTCTGTGTTTCGGTAGACAAAAAGCCTCGTTGAAGGTAAACTGAAAGAAGCAAGACTGGTAGAAGGCTTCAGTTCCACTGAGGGATGTTTCAGAAGTTTTGGAGCCAACCTTTATGTGTTCAACTCCAATTTGCATGTTGTTTTATACCTACAAAAGCTGACTTGTGTTGCCCTTTTGCTTTGACATTTTCTCACTGGCACCACTTCTTGTGCATGTCTTGTGAATGCTGCTTTCTAATCCTGGCAGTGAAGGTGCCCCGCTCTTCTGGGAGAAGTCTTATCTTTGCTTGCTAATGGGCTCCAGCCTGTTAAAGATAAGGCTTGCAAACCTGAACCTGCTGAAGTATGAGACAAAATTCCTGTTGACTGAATGGAGTCAGCTTTACCCAGAAGAGACTTGTTTGTGGCCCTGAGGCCTGTATGTGATGCTGGAGAGAAATCTCTTCATCTAATGCTATTTTTTTTTTTTTTTTTCTCTGGAGGGTTGGGGGGTAAGGACTGAGGGGAGAAAGCTGAGTCCAGAACTGACAGCATGAGCGGGGATTAGACCTTGCTGTTCCTCCCACCTTTTTCTCCCTGTTGGTGTGCCTCCATGCTAATTTAGACCTGTGGCAACCATCAAAGCCCTGTGCATACCTTCTGCACAAAGGGGCCTGTCTCCCACGTGAGGGCGTTCTCTGCTGGGATAGTCAGTTTGTCCCCCAAAAGAAAAATCTTAAGCACCCAATTGCCTGCTTGACTGACTCCCTGACTGCTATTATGTTTCTAACCACGGTAATTGGCTTTAGTAGTTATTAATGGATTATGTTTGGGGAGGGAGGGACAGAACCCAACACCTAGCTTTGTAGCTGAGGGACTCCCTGACCAAAGTGCTGCTTTCCAGACATGGGGTTTGACCGGTAAGCTGTCAGAGTGGGTGTCTCTTACCTGTTTTCCTCTGAGATGGGAGCTGTTGGCAAAAGGGAAATGTTCCCTCTTGTCCTGCACTATGGTGGAGAGAAGGCAGATACTGAGCAGAAACCCTGTTTCTAAATATGAAATGCTGCATGCTTTCTTAATTGGTCCTTATGGCTGCTGCACAGCAACAGGAATTATTTTTTCCTTAGACTCTCAGACTTTGGCCAGGGACTTCCATGGAGAAGAATGTGTGCACCCTGCAGCATCTGTGCAGAGCTCCCTGTGCTACAGGTGCATTGGGCCAATTGCATGTGGACTGCCAATGAACTTGGGATTTTGCATGTAAGACAGGCTGGTTGGAGAGACTTTGAAATAGCTCTGGTGCTGCAGGCCTTGACTAGCCCTAAAGGGCAGCTAAGGGTCACAGGACTTGTGGACCCCTCCAGGAGTTTGGTTAGGTGGTATAGAGCCAGCAAAAAGAGGGCCTTGGTAGCTGCAGCTCTTCCTTGGTTCCTGCAGCTCTTTGAGATTGCTTGATGTTATCTGCGTGCCTCTTTTGCAGAGTGTATTGGCAGTGCTGCTTTGGCCTTGTGATTTGGAGAAACCAATTGCTCAACCGAACTACAGAGCTAGGAGTAGGAGTCCCGAGTTCTGGCCCTGCTTCCACGTGGCTCTTCTCTGGCTTTGACTGAGTCGAGTGCATGTTTACCACTTTGGGTGCCTTGTAACACCAGCAGTAGTGCTTCTCACAGAAGTCAAGGAAGCTGCAAGAATCCTTTCCTAGTACAGTAGAGGCTTGGAGACACCTTCTGAATTCCAAAGGAAGAATGTTGTAGAGGATCAAAGAAATGTTTAAAAACTGCTATTTTTACAGACATGACATTGTTTCCTTATTTTCTGTCCTCTTTCAGCTATCAATCAGCCCCGTCTCATGCTGCAAAAGATTTTTAGGCAAAGCATAGAACTGGCTTTTATTTAAAGCAAGCTCCTTTTCCTGCATTTGTGCTATCCTTGTTGCAATGACTTAAACATAGTTTTGGCATTTTATTCTCGGTAGCTGCAATAAATGTGGCTTTGTGAGAGGTCATTTATAGCTTAATTAGAAATCTTTGTATGAGCTGCTTTCTCTTATTTGGATTGAGGATAGGAAGTTGGCACAAAACAAGCAGTGTGGTGTGGAGAGCCACAGCACCCGTGTTCCTGCTGCATGATTTTAAGGATTTGTTCCTGTTTTATCAACTAGTTTGAGGCCAGTGGATGTCAGGCAACCTCTGGAGCCAGCATGTGCAGCAGGGACATAGCATTGCCAAAGAGGACGTTGGAATGGACCCTGCTGAAGAGTGTGAACTGAGCCAAATATTGCTGCAGGAGAGCTCTGCTGCCTCTAATAGTGCTTGAGCACTGGGGAGGACAACATGATCCAGCTTTGAAATTGGCCCTGCTTCGAGCAGGCTGGATCGGAGACCTCTATTCTGTGATTCGTTAGGCCTGTGATGCTGCAGCCAATTCGTGATTGTGCTCAGAAGTTGCCAACAAACAGAAGCGAGACATGAAGTAGGAAGTAACAGGGAATTTTCCATGGGGTCCTTCTGCAGCTTTACAGCACAGACTGTATATGAAACGTGCTGAGTACTGTGCTAACTGTTTTGAAAATGTTGTTGCAATTTACCACTGCTCCTGTTTTAGGTTTTCCTTTTGCATATGCAAATACATCTTTATGTCTTGCTAACTCTCTGCAGTTGTGACCTGCTCCATCTGGGAAGCTCAGCTATTGAGGGCTCTGGAGCACCTCTCCCTTTGCTGCTGCCTGCCCCTTATGAAATGCAGAGGAACATGCTGGAATAGTCCTGAACCAGAATTCAAAGTCTGTCTTGTAGCCTGTTTTCTCTGTCTTGCTCATGCACTGTTTCTTCAGAACATGAGGATTAGTAAGTGGTGTTTTGTTTTTTTTTTGTTTGCTTGGTTTTTTTTAAACAGCTCATTTGTGACGGGGACAGCCTGCTGTGGACACACCTCGCCCCTGAGAATCTGGGACCTTGAGAGGTGAGTGAGCTTCCAGGTTACAGGGAGGGACTTGACGAGAAAAGTGAGTAACAATGAGAAATGCAATATTGGAGATGCTGTAAAATCATTCTTTTAGTCCATGTAAGCAAGGGATGTTTAAACATGAGTTGTGGGATGGAGGGGGGACAGAAAAAACCTGTATGGAAAGGCATATGTGGGGGGTGGTTCTTGTTCAGTAAGGAGCAGCTCAACTTTTTTTCCAGCTTTTCTAGTTGATGGCACAGCCATGCTGGTTTCTTTCCATTACTTGTGTACGGTCAGAACACACCCACTACACCATCTTTTTCATCTGTCTCAGTTGATGCTTCAGCCTGAGCCAGAGGGGTGAGGAAGGTGATCTGCATCCTCCAGTTCACCCACTTGTCTGTGGTGCTCAGAAGCCAGAGGGAACCATAGGCTCTACAGTCATCTTGTCCTGGCTGGTGTTTCTTGGTAGCTCAGGGAGGTGAGAGGGTGGCGACAGGTTATCTACGGAAGTGACTTAGGTATGTTGTCTTCTCTCTGTCTTAATAAGCATCGAGGAGGTTAATTGCCATAGCCTCTGATTTGGGGCCATTGAGTAGTTCCTGTTCAGTGAAGGTGCTGACCTTAGCAACTGGGGAAATGTTGGGCTCAAATCCTGACGTGAAAACTCAACTGCTGACAAATTTGAAACTCTTAGCCTGAGGGTCTTTGTGTAGTGATGGACAGTTAGCAAATATTTGGCAGGATTATTGAATGACAGCTCAGCTTCCCAGAACAGGTATGCTCTGGGTAGGAGTGGCACAGCACAGATTATCAAGAGAGTGCCATCAGGATTGAGGTGAGCTGGTGGGCTTTGGGAGGGGAGAGAGGGGGGCAGTGTCAGAAGGGGCCTTGAAGGGTGTCAGCAGAGCTGTATTTGGAGAAAGGAGGTAGAGGAGGATTTGGTGTGGATGCAGGGCTGATCTGATGCCAATTGCCTTCTAATCTGTTGTTTAGATTGTCTGAGTCAACTGCATCAAATACAAATATAAATAATTTTTTTTTTCTCTGAAGTAATAAAAATAAAGACTTTGCAAAGGATGCATTCCACAAAGGAAAAACTAGAGCAGGAAAGACAGTGCCAGAGCATTCAGCTGTGGTGCATGTGTCTTGGTGACTTAGTCCAATGGTGCCTTTGGAGTACCCCAGAAGGATGCAGGCTATGCTGTGATACCCCTGCCCATCAAGTCTTCTGACTGTTCTTGAATAGAGGCATCTGACAGGGGTGAGGAGATAGGCAACCCTCTCCCCCCTGCCCCAGCCTCTCTGACAGCCTTTCCCAAGGAAGCCTGAAGAGATAATAAAGCTGTGTAGAAAATAGGATTAAGGTAATGAACAGGCACAACGGAGTTTGATCTTTCAATAATGTCAAAGCCTGAGTGACAGGCAAATAAAAAGCCAAGGCAACCTAGGCCACTGGGCCTCTGTTGCAATGGCTGAAGTGTCAGACTTATTCTTCCCTCTTCACCTGTCACAGCTGGAATGCACCATGCCACTGGGTCTCTTCCTCTCCGGGGACCTGTGTGTGAGCTGGGAGTCTTGTCAGCACGTGCAGGGCAAGAGACTGAGTAGGGAGCATGGCTGGGACACTAGCACGTGAAGCTTGATGTGATCATTCATAGAAAGGGAGTACAGAGCTGTCCTTCCAGGTCTTGACTTCTCCACAAACTGTTTTTCTTCCCAGCAGAGCTTTGGATTCATTCTCAAAGGCTCCAGTGGTTGCCAGAAATGATCTTGTAGGGAACTGCTGTTTCTTTCTTTGAGGCTTGTGCATGGTCAGGCTCCAGAAGTGGGAGTGTGGCATGGAAACTCAAAATATTGGAGCTACTTGGGACTGAAAAGCTCTTCCTGTGCCCCATGTGTCCTGATAACATCTGGTAGATAGAGCCAGGCGCCCTGAGTTTGCTGCTTACCCCTTCCTTGTGACTTTGTCTTTTCCAAAGTGATTCTATGATTCTACAAAAGGGCCAGAGTCTGACCCGCAGAGGCTGAATGTGGCAAGGACATTATCTCTAAGAGAAGGTGCCTGGATTCTGCTTTATCAAAAAAATGAAGCAGGATAGACCAATGCTTAAGGTGTGTTCTTTAAAACTACAGGATCCGTAGCACTACTTAGATGTTTTAGTGCTGTCCAAGACCAGTTAGTTCAGTTAGCTGGGTGTTTTCTGGGGGGACTGTGAGGGGGTGTAGGTAACATTGCAGCAGTTTCTGTGGCATTCTCTTCCCTTGGGGTAGGTGGTCTTTTTCCCCAACAGCTGAGAGCTGGAACATGCTACAAAAGGATTTAAAGCTTAAATAACCTTTTGTGTACTGATCTCCTTAGTTCCAGGCCAGATAAGTCCTTGGCTGGTGCTTGTAACTGTTGGTCATGGTATGATTTCGTATTTATGACCTTCACTGTTCCCTGACCCTGGGGCAGCCATTCTCATCCCTCCAAGAGGAAGGGGATAATGTCTTCACCTGGAAGCATGTTCTGGGCTTTGAAAAGGGCTTGGTTGGGTTTGGCAGTGAGGAAATTTTTAGTGGGGAAAGGAAACGCCTCTTGCTGCATCCCACCCCCACAACTGTCTTTCATTTCTGACTCTGCTGAGATGATGGCGTTGGATCAAAGCCGCAACAGGCAGCAACAAGCAATTGTCAAGGGGAGTCTAAAGCAGGGGAATGACCGCATAATGCCAAGACACTGTCTCTGATGGCTGAAATTCCAGCTGCTACTACACCTGGCCCTTTCTCCTGTAATGAAGGAGGGTTTCTTTTTTTTCTTATGCTTTTGAAGCTCGCTAGCTCACCTCTGGAGGACATATCTCATCCCACAGATGCTACAGTGTGCCAGCTGATTGCTTTTAGATGTGGGGAAGTTCCTGTGCACTTACTGCCACTCAGGATCAAGGTGTGTGTGTGGAGGGGGGCTGTGAATGACTTGTGATTAGAGGTCTGCATAGGGAAGGAGACCAATTGGTAGTATGGACCACAGGATACTAACCTGTGTCCTTGCATTAAGAATCAGGCCTTGCTGACTCCTTGGCCTCTTGCAAGTCCCCTTGTCCCTCTGTGCCAGTGAGGGATATGATGGTAGCTGTCCCTCTTGCAGGTCAGGTACCTCTGCTTCCTTTTGCCTTTCTCTGCTCAGACCTTCCTGTCTCATCTGCCATTGGTAGCGTGTGGCTCATCAGAGCAGCCAATTAAAGCCAAGCAAGAGAAAAGGAAACTTTCTTCAGATCGTGTTCCTGTTTCTTTCTCTTCCCACCTCCTTTCTCCTTTGGGATTTTAAACTCCTTGGGAGACGAGGGTGACACACCACTGGCAACAGCTCCAAGGCCAGCATTTGTCATTTGCCTGTGGAGAACTGTTGCTCCCCAGCCTGTCTTGGTGGTCTGCATGTCTTTAGGTGACAAACACCCCTGCCTCCAGGATGCTTCTCCATAAGGTAGGCTACTCCAGAGGTCGCTTTGCAGCAACTCTCAGAGCTGTTCTGCCAAGCCCGTTGTTTGAAATGGACCAGTGGTCTGTCTGGCATGGTAGTCCTCATGCTGTAAACACTTTGAATGCACAAGTCCTACATTGTCCTTTCCTGTGACAGAACATGACAGATGCAGGGCATGAGAGCTGTTGTGAAAACTGAGCCAAAGTTAGCTGTGCCCTGCAAGCCACCCCAGATCCTCTGCCTTTTAAATATCCAGTCTTTGTCCATCTCCTCCCCGCTTTTGAAAGCATTTTTGGCAGTGGTTTTTTTGTTTTTTTGGTTTTTTTTTTTTTAAGAACCCTCTAATTTCTTGTTCGGTTTTTCTCCCTCTCCTGAGCCCTTTGAAAGTGGCTTTACGCCGTCACTGACACCAAACTGACACTTTGCGTTTCCCCACTTCTTATCCCTTTATGGCAACAGATGTTGAAATTTTGTATCCCTTTTATCTGTCCCTCTTTGCCCTCTTCCTGTAATTAGGTTTCCCTTGTTAGCAGTACAAAGTGGCCCGGTTTGCTGCCTGGCCTTTTGAGCCATTGTGTCTGAGCACATTTTTTTCCTCCTCTTTTGGAAGAGTTCCTTCCCCCTTAAGTAATAGGCAGGGTGTGGGCCAAAGCTGTGGCTTTTTCTTGTTTCTTTGTTCTCCATTTATCTCTGCCACCTTTTTCAAAGGGATGGGGGAAAAAAAAAAATAGAGAGTGCATGGAAGGGGAAGATACAGAGTTGCATTTCTTGACCATCAGGCCCCCCTGCTCTTCAGGTGTTCAAGGCAAGTGCCTTTGATGTCTGCAAGTTTTGGGGAGGTGGGAGGTAGAGGATTCATGGGAGTGGAGGAGAAGGGAGATTCAGGTGTGTGGCTGATGCCCTCAGCAGAGGGGTGGGGAGGGAGTCTTTCAGGGTAGCCAGGCAGCTGCTGAACAGGTTAGTAATCCGTATTTGCCTCTAGTGCTATTGCATTGTGTTCTTTCTTTCTGAGAGCCAGCACGAGCATTACCATCATAAGCAGCTGGCTGAAGTTTGCTAACTTGCTGCTGCTTGATCTCTGGTATGCGCTTCCATGGGACCCTTGCTAGGTTACATCTGCTTGTGCAGTGGGGTGGGCAAGAATTAGTTGCTGTCTTTCAAATTTCAGCATATGTTGATCTGCATCCACTTTGGTGGCTTTTTAGAACCATTGAGTGAGTGAAGGTGAGCGATTGTCAACAAGGAGGGAGAGCTTTAGAACTTGGGCTCCCTGTGCTGTTCTTAAACAGCGAGTGCAATTTGACAGTTACAGTGTGTAGCACTGAACACCCTGGTTAGCTGATCAATACTGATGCTTTCTTGTTTAAATCCGGTCCTTCTTGGCTTCGCGTTGTGTTGTGCTCAGATTTTTTTAATGTGTGGAAGTAGATAAATGAAATGAGAATCTGCAGATCTAGTTCTTGGTTGTAAAGCTTGCTAAATGTTTTCAACAAAGGCTTTTAATGTAGAAGCTTGGCCCAAGATGTACAAGCAGACTTCTTAGCATTGTGTT